CTCTTTAAGCTATAAATAGAGGAGAAGGGCGAACCCCAGTTCATCCTTCAATATTACTGATTCAAGAGAGAAGACAACATACAGTTGGACTGACGCCATCTTCTGCTCTTGCCTTCCCCTACTATTGCCGCCATTGACAGTTCGATCTCCACCTGTAGAAGCGATCAAGAAGGGTTCTTGATATCATCTTTTGGCAGAAAAAGGTGATCTGAAGTCGTGCTCACTTGCCCTCCATCAGATTCTTGGTGAAGAATCAGGTTCTTGTTGAAGAGCCATCCTGTTGATTCTGCTCCACCCTACGTTGTGTCATCTTCAATGGGAGCAGTCTTTGGTAATCTCCTTGGACGTGAACACCTTCGTTGGGAGTTACTATTACTCCATATCAGGTATATCCCTCTTCCTACCTTTTGGTTTCAGATCTGGTCCGGTTTAGGTTCAAGATTGATCCTTGAAAATGCAGTTTTCTAAAATAGGGAATGTGATTCCCACATGGGAGAGAGAAATTTTTTGAAATTTCACCCAACCTACCTGTAGGATTCGGCCATCCATATGATGGATCTCTCATCCCTTCAGTACCCTCTACAAGATGAGCTCTTCGTGGCTTCTACGGGAGTTGGCAGCCAACGGACGCATGGACCTCCTTGCAGGTCGAGCCTTCCATAGCTCCCGTGCGAGCTGGTGACCTAAGGTCAGTAGTGCTGTCCCCATGGGTTGAGCTCTAAGTGGCTTCTCGTAGGAGTGGGTGACCAGCGTCACTAACGAGGTTGATGCAGTGCAACCGTGGCTGGCGCTAGAAGGAGGGCATGGGCAAAATCAAGAATAAGGTGTGGACTGCGAGTCGCTCCCAGAGCCCAAGGGCTAAAGTGTTGAGTTGATAAAAGATCTCAGCACCACATAAGACCCAATTGCCTCTTCGGCATGGGCAAAATCAAGAATAAGGAGTGGACTGTGAGTCGCTCCCAGAGTCTAAGGGCTAAAGTGCCAAGCTGATTAAAGACCTTGGCACCACATAAGACCCAGTCGCCTCTTCGGCATGGGAAAAATCAAGAATAAGGAGAGTGAACTACGAGTCGCTCCCACAGCCTAAGGACTAAAGTGCCAAACTAATAAAAGACCTCGGCACCACATAAGACACAGTCGCCTCTTCAGCATGGGCAAAATCAAGGGTAAGGAGAGTGGACTGAGAGTCGCTCCCAGAGCCTAAAGGTTAAAGTGTCGAACTAACAAAAGACCTCGACACCATATGAAGCCTACTAGCCTCTTCAACAGGATCAAGGATAAGGAGAGTGGACCGCGAGTCGCTCTCAGGCCAAAAGGAACAATCTACTCCCTTCGCTGAGTTACTTTCATCTCTGGAGTGGGGGGCAATTGATGAGGGCGGGTTTGGCCCTCCAATGACATCATGACACATGGCATCTCGGAACAACTAGGTGACACCCAGAACCACTTAGGCAACAACTTGCCTTAGCCAAGATGATAGTGTCCTAGCTGGCGACTTGGCCCCTAGCGCCAACCTGGCAGCCTGCCCCTAGCAACCTGGCATTGTGGCCGATCTGGCGACCTCGACTACAATTCAGGTCGGCTAGAAGCACCTCGTCCAGGGCAAACCTGCAGCACCTCGTCACTGGCCGAAGTGACCTCGATGAAAGGAGCGACCTCCCCTCGAGGGTGTGCCGGCCTGGCTGAGTTTCAGGTGGCAACCTGCGAGACGTGCTCGCCGACAAATTCGGCATGCATATCCCGACACTCCCACGATCCTTGGAAGTTGGCCCACATACCAAACGTTCCGGAAGATTGTCAACGTGCATGGCGGTTGCCTTCGAGGATCTCGGACCGGTTAGGCATGACCTCCTAGAAATCTCGGATGCAGTACATGAGGCCCACGTCAAAACAAGGCCTATATAAAGGCACCAAACCCAATGACACAGGAGGGAAGTAAGGGGGCAAGTAAGCGCATTATAGCTCTCATACTTTATGAATTTTTAGCTCGCGAGTTACTACGAGAGTACTAACTTAAGCATCGGAGCGACCTTGCTGGGTTAGGCACTCCGAGTCCTCTGACATTGATTTCTTACAGGTTTCTCATACTTGACACCCTTACAGGATGCACTTTATCTTTTTTTTTCTTTCTTTTTTTTTATTAAATCATTCTCTTTACTCTTAAAAAAATTGATGGGATACTTATGTTCAATGTATATGCTATGGTGGGGATGACTCCAAAGTTGGACAAATTTGTTTCATCCAAAACAGCTTCTTTGGCAGCCGTACTCGTGCATTATAACGTATTTGGCTTCTGTCATGAAATCTGTTGTATTTGGCCCTCTAAGAAAGAGAGGAAAATAGGGTTTTGAACCTCCATTTGACCAGCCTTTGAGAGTGTCCATTAGAGAGCTATTCTATAAAATATTTCAGTCTTAAACCTCACCCAAATGGTTCCTTGATTGGAGCAAACCTCACCCGATTTTATTTCAGTTTCTCTTTTTTTTTTTAGTAAATCATTTTAACAAAGCAAGCTTTTAACTCAGAAAAAAAATAAAAAATTTAGGGATTTGGGTCCCCTATTGGGAACTCGTCTCCATTCGGGATGGAGGTTCATTTTTCTTCCCAACAGGGATAGGGAGTATGGTCCCCACCTTGGGCCCGCTTGTTAACATTCCTAAATTCTACCATGTCAATGTATTAAGTTAATCAAAAAATTAGATATGTAATAGTAGTAAAAATTAATAATTAATAGTATATAATACCAATACAAACAATAAAATATTACTAAAATAAATTAGGAAAACTGAAATTAATGTTAATAAATAATAATAAAACAAGTTAATAAGTATTAATAAGTATATATGCATAATGTTTCATTAGATGTTTTAAATTACCTATTTGATCTGAAATTGTTATTTGCATTCTACACCTATATTTAAATTCTATTTAAAATAAAAGCAAATGAATAAAATCTAATAAAAAAATAGTAAAAATGAAAATAAATTTATCTAACCAAAATTAATACAAAACACAATTAATTTAAATTCTACCACCTTGGGCCCGCTTGTTAACATTCCTAGATTCTAATATGTCAATATATTAAATTAATCAAAAAATTAGATATGTAATAGTAGTAAAAATTAGTAATTAATAGTATATAATACCAACACAAACAATAAAATATTACTAAAATAAATTAGGAAAACTAAAATGAATGTTAATAAATAATACTAAAACAAGTTAATAAGTATTAATAAGTATATATATGCATAATGTTTCATTAGATGTTTTAAATTAGCTATTTAAGCCTTCAAAAAATATTAGCTATTTAATCTGAAATTGTTAATTGCACTCTACACCTATATTTAAATTCCATTTAAAATAAAAGCAAATGAATATAATCTAATAAGAAATAGTAAAAATGAAAATAAATTTATCTAATCAAAATTAATACAAAACAAAATTCATTTAAATCCAATTTAGAAAAATTAAAATTAACAACAATTTCTTTAACCATAACAAAAATAGTTACAAATACTAATAGAAAAATTAATAAAAGTTTATCTAACAATACATTTAAATCCAATGCTACAAAGCCCGTGCATTGCACAGGCCTCATTGGATTAGATAGGTCAATTTAATTAAAGTAGTCTAATTAGCTATGTCAATACAGTTTATATTAAAGTAAAAACACTTAGACTAATCAAACCTATACATGATTAACTTAATTTTTATATTTATTTAGTTATGATTAATGGTGTTTGGAGATAAAAAAAAAAAGCACTGATACTAATAAAGAATTGCCCAATTTTATTAGTAAATAAATTATCCCAGATTAATTATTAGCAAATATATTAATTCCTTTTATATCTATTAATAGTAAATTAATTAATTAACTATGTTTGATTAATTAATTATCTATTTAACTATTTTTATTAGTTACAGACTTTTTTCCCAGGGCAATGATATAATATTTATCCCTATATATTAGATATCGGATATTTTGTACATCGCACGGAACCATGCTAGTTCACAAAGTAAAATAATAATAATCCTCTCAAAATAGGAGAATCGTTTTTATATCGAGTGGCCGACGATCCAAAATTCAGTGGGTCCCCCCTAGGAGGCATGATTTCAAACAGCAGAAAGGCAGGCCTTCTGCATAGCCGTCCTTCGCATGCATTCACACCACCAAGGCCCAGGCCCACCAATAACCCACTAACCCCACGTCTCATCACATGCGGACAAAAGCCGCATTACATGTACTCAAAATAAATCATCTATAGCTATAGAGATGTTTGATTTGAAGGAAAAGGTAGGAAAAGGAAAGATAGGGAAATCTATACAAAACCTTTCCCTTCTTTTCCCTAACTAATCCCTTGGATGATTAATTTTTCTTTGAAAACCAAACCAAAATGCAATCCCTGATCGTTGTCCTTCAAACGAAAAGAATATTCAATTAATTTGGTAACAATCCCATTTTGAGTTCAGCTGAATTAAAATTCTCTGAGCCGAGCAGCTACAAGTATTATCACTTAACATTACTGTTTTCCAGCAGAATAACGAAATCTTGATTGGCAATTTGGCATCCTTCTGCCCCAAATCCTTTTTCCACTTAACTTTTGTTACGTGGCATCAAATGATTCTGGAACTCAAAATTTCAGAGTATAGGCTCAATTTAGGAGTACAAATAATAGTGCAAATACATATAAAATAATACAAAATGCAAGGTTTTGCACTTTATACTCTTTCCAAACTGAACCTTACCAAAGTCCGGAAGTTGCAATTTGCAACTTGCAATGGGTGGGTGGTGAAGCTTGATAGTTTTCAAGGCTTAACAATTTTTATATATCGTTTCATGGGTCACTCATTCAGTGGTCTTTCTTGTATCAGGATCGATTTCATAGCTGTTCCAGTCTACTGGAACAAATCTGACGGTTCTTAATAACCAGATCACATAGATTTTTTTTTTTTGAATCCATGAATAAGAAAAGTAGTCAGGACGAGAGAGGGAGACAGATAGAGACTACTCTTGATGATACATACTTGATTATCATACCAAGAAAAGCCAGAAGTACAAGCACAAAATTAAACCACACAACCAACTCGATCAGAGGATAAAGCATAAAGTAGTCAATGAACAAAGACTAAATCCCATACAAAAGTCATTTTATTCTGAAGGGATAAATGATGATCCGATAAACCATCGTTAGCAGTAGTTAACTGGCCTGGGGACGTGTATGGTCATGGAGCCTCTCCCATTCACTAACAAGGTTTAACGCAAAAGCATCGGCGTCGGGCGCCCTTGCAATCCCCTGCAGGAAAGCCCTCGGTTTGACAGACGGATGCACAGTTGGTGTCGCTGAGGCATGCCCCCTTGAAGCGATGGCTCTGTGACTCACAAGTCCTTGCCTCTGCTACTTTTGGCCCCATCTCTGCAACCAGGTTAGCAAAAGAAAGATAATCAGTGCTTGTCCATCTCTACTGTGAAAACAAATAATAATGCAGAACTGAAGAACCCATAATAACAATTCAATAATAAATCAAGAAGAAGAAGAAGAAATGAAAGAAAAATTGCTTCCTGAGCTCATTTGTTGGTGACCAACTACGTGTGCCTCTCATGGCCGGGTTCTGAAAATCAAGGTTTGCTCATGGCATTGGTCATGAATCAGAGGGTAATTAAGCTCAGCCCTCAGTGGCTTTCTTGGAGACCGACTAGTTTCTAACTGGTAAATTTAAAAGAACAAAGGGGAAGAGAAGAACCAGTGGCCGTGACAAGCAGCAGGACGAGGACGAGAGATGAAAACAGACGCATGCCGCGCTCCATTGAGACTGGACGATAGATATGGAAACACAGCGAGAGAGAGAGAGATCTATTCTTGTGGAAATAAGGCAAGCTGGCTAGTGTTTATATAGAGGTTTGCTTAAGTAAAGGTGGTGTTTCAGACATTAATGCTTTAAATTAGGAGTTTTGTTTGATGGAATATGTGATCAGCGTGGAAGCGTCAGATTGGAATCAACTCTGATATCATAACCCACCTTGCATGCCATAGATTTTTTCCACCAATCAGATAGTTACAGAGCAGGGCCTATGTGAGTCCTACCTGTATTCAGTCATCACTCTCCTGAATTTCTAGGGTGTTCCAAAGCTATGATGGGTTGATCAGAAAAGATTCTGTCGCTCACAGGCTTTTTTGCCCACTGTGGTACTCTTTTGGCAATTAACCAGATTTGAGTATGGTAAGAAATTGGCAAACTGTTGGGTTCTTTTAGAAATCAAAAATATGTTCATACCATACTTCACAATCACAAGGGTCCATGGATTAATTCAATTAATTTTCAGTCCCCAGAATATAATAGTGCATCCTCTCACAGTTCATTCTCTGTTTGTATTAGCATTAGCTTAGTTCCTGCAAAATTTCTTTCATTGAATAAGAAAAGACAGAATATGTAGAAGTTTATCATGAAACTTGTTTTCTATAAACCATTTCTACAGAGTGTGTAATTCTGTGGGAAGAACAGTCAAACCAGACTGTGTTTAAGGGGAAAAACATCCACTTCCTCCATTTGCATGGTCAGAGTTGTTGGTAGGGGCAAATAAGTTATTGGGCATTGTGTACAGTGGTCGATTTTGTATTTCGGACTATGGATTGGACATTGTAGATAAGGAGAAGCTGTCTTTTGTTAGGGTGTGGCTGCATGTGCTTAACGTCTGACACAAAGTGGATAAAAATCAAAGAAAAATACAAGGCAAAACAAAAGGTCTGACCCAACATTACCATGTAAATATCTGTAAAATAGAAAATGAGAAATCTCGCCTCCTTCCTTTTATGCTATGTTTGTTTTGAAGGAAAAAGTAGATTAAAAAAACGGAAAGGTAGGGAAAAGTTTAAGAACTATGTATAAGTTTTCTACCTTCTCCTTCCTTTCCCTATACCAAATATAGCCCTAAGATTTTGTAAATCATTTACTTTCCTCACATGCCACGTTTTTTTATTGTCTTCTAATCCACTTGAAATCAGCTATTCTGTTTTAACGTGACAAAAATGTCCGCACGCTAATCATCTATTTTTTTATCTAAAATTTCTACAAAATATTTCCATTTAATCTACATTTTGTTCATAAATTCGTATATTACGGAAATACGAAAGCAATAGAGTACATTGATTTGGCTGCCCATTGGAAATGACCAAATCCAAATATTAAATTGAGTACAATGATTCAAAAAAGGAAGGGGTTAACGGGTTAGAGGTTAAACTGGGTTGAACTGTGATGTGTATTTATATATAGTGGGGACCCGTGTGATGCACGGGAAAATCTGAAAAATTGAATTATTGTATTTACTATTAATTAATTGATATATTAATAATCAGAATATGTTGTTGATTAACTAAAAGTATTTAAAGTTGTTGTTAATATTTAAAATTTTAATAATTGTATTTTAATTTAATATTGATTTATAGAAAATCATTATTGTTAATTTAATATGAACAAATATTTTTAATATATTTAATTTTATTAATCATTTGTAGTAATTTTAATAATTGTTATTATTTTTATTTTGTTTAAATGAAATTTTGATTGAGCTTAAATAAATAAAAATAGTTACAAAAGATAACATTTTTATTAATTTCACTAATAATTAACAATTATATAGGAATGGCAACGGGATGGGTTCGGGGGCACCCCATCCCTGTTCTCACCCTATAGTCAAGACACTCTAATCCATCCACACCCAATCCCTAGTGTCAGGTGGGTTCAGGGCAAGGCACCCAATCATTGTTAGGGATGGGGAATCCTCGAAATTCCCTACCTCGTCCTCAATATCGAGCGAGTTCAAGGTAAGGCACCCACTTCTCACAAAGGATGGGAAATCCTCGAATTTTCCCCACCCTGTCCCTAGTGTCGGGTGGGTTCAAGGCAAGGCACCCACTCTCCATCAACCCAATATGCAATTTGATGACAAAAATTATCAAAATGATATACTAAGTATCAGCCACATGGTAAATTTCTAAAATTACACTAAATTGTCTTTCATTTTAAAAAATGTAATTATATGAAAATTTTGAAAAATTTATTCAAATTTATTTTTAAATTGTTATTAAATAATTTATTTTCTTTTTAAATGGTTTACTTATAGAGTATATTAATTTATCTTATATTTTCTAATATAAACTAATTAATAATTTCTTTTTTCCAATATTATATTAATTTATCTTAATAATTTGTTTAATTATTGGTTCAAATTACAGTTTTCCCTTTCCCCTACTCATTTATCTATAATAATTTTAAATAATTTATTACATAATTTTTTAATAGTTTTCAAAATCTATCAAATGTAATAAATTTTCCTAAAATTTCCAAAATATTCCAACAATTTTCAATAATTATTTAATACATTTTAAATAAACTTTCAAAAATTTTATATCTTTTACTTTCCAAAATCTTATTTTACAAAAATGTAATTTTATGATTTTTTTTTACATTTGTGTAATTGTGGAGATTTATTGAACATTATTTTAAATTGTTATTCAATATTTATTTTTATTAGGTAGTTTACTAACAAAATTACACTAAGTTATCTTTTATTTTCTAATATAAATTAATGAATAATTTTATTTTCCAACATTATAATATTTTATTCCCCCATCTACATTTGGTTATTAACTATAATAATAACAATAACTATAATTTTATACTTTATGGTAATTGTTAAATACAATTCTCAATTTTATAGAAATTAATTAAAGAGTTTTCAATTTCTATAAAATGTTGTTAATTAACATGAATATAATAGTATTTACTCAAAATACTTTAAAAAGTCATGATGACTTTATTAATAACAATATTCATTAATTTTTTGGTAATTTACTAATAATACTAATAAGAATATTTAATTTTTGTCAATTTACTAACTGTACTAATTAACTTTTGGTAATAACAGTATCTAATACTCATTGAATATGGGTTGGATTAAATGTTAACAGTATCTAACTATTTATTAATTAATATGAATATTTTAAATGAGAGAGTGGATATAGATTGGGGTAGAGATTTTAAGAATTGATTGGGGAGTGGGGTAACATGATACATTCCTAATGGCTTAAGGAGAAACCTTAGGAGATAGGAATATTTTTAGATAGTTCGATTGGGAATAGTGACATGACTTATTGGGAGTGGTGGGAAGGGGTGAGGAGAGAGAGTCAAGGAGATTGCAAGGTGGGGGTAATGGAGCAAGGAGAGACATGCTGATGGGGACCTTCAATAAATTTAATTTTATTAATGAATTGTAGTAATTTTAATATTTGCATTATTTTTAAATAAAATTATGGTTGACTTTCAATAAATAAAAATAATTAAAAAAGCTAAAATTTTTATTAATTTCACTCAAGGTTCAAAGTATCGACATGTATCGGCCGATACATATCGTGCCAATGGCTTCCCGATACGCCCCTACAGGGGTTGTATCCAAGGTTCAAAGCATCGACACGTATCGACCGATACGTATCATGTCGGTCACTTCCCGATACGCCCCTACAAGGGTTGTATCAGGTCAGCCACTGGTTCATAGAGTAGTCGGACCTTAAACTGGCCCCTTTGAACCAATTTCAAAAAAAAAGGTGAAACATAAAAAAAAAGCACCGATATAGGCTAATACGCCTTACTGGCATATCGGCCCGTGTCAATATTTAGAACCTTGATTTCACTAATAATTAACAATTACATAGGAATGGCAATGGGGCGGGACACCCCCATCCCTATCCTTGCCCCATAGTCAAGGCACTCTATCCCATCCCCACCTCGTCCCCAATATCAAGTGGGTTCAAGGCAAGGCACCCACTCCTCGTTAGGATGGGGAATACATGAATTTCCCCATCTCGTCCTCAGTGTCGAACTAGTTCAGGGCAAGCCACCCACTCCTCATCAAGGATGGGGAATCCTTGAATCTTCCCCACCCTGTCCCTAGCGTCGGGCAAGTTCAAGGCAAGGCACCCACTCCCTATCAACCCAATATTCAATTGGATGACAAAAATAATTAAAAGGATATATTGAGTATCAACCACATGGTGAATTTCTAAAAGTACACTAAATTGTCTTTAATTTTTAGAAATGTAATTTTATGAAAATTTTGGAAAATTTATTACACTTGTGTGATTTTAAATATTTATTCAATTTTTTAATTGTTATTAAATAATTTATTTTCCTTTTAAATTGTTTACTTACAAAATTACACTAATTTATCTTATATTTTCTAATACAAACTAATCAATAATTTCCTTTTTCCAATATTATACTAATTTATCTTAATAATTTGTGTATTTTTTGGTTCAAATTACAGTTTTCACCTTCCCATAATAATTTCTTTAATAATTTTCAATAAATTACAATGAAAATTATATAACTTTTCAATAGTTTTCCAAAATCTATCAAATGTAATAAATTTTCCTAAAACTTCCAAAATATTCCAATAATTTTCAATTATTATTTAATACATTTTAAATAAGCTTTCAAAAATTTTATATCTTTTAATTTCAAAATGTTATTTTATGAAAATGTAGTTTTATGAAAATTTTGTTACATCTGTGTAATTAAGGAGATTTATTGAAAATTATTTTAAATTGTTATTAAATATTTATTTTTATTAAGTAGTTTACTACAAAATTACACTAATTTATCTTTTATTTTCCAATATAAATTAATTAGTAATTTCATTTTCCAACATTATAATATTTTATTCCCCCATCTACATTCGGTTATTAACTATAATAATAGTAATAACTAAAATTTTATACTTTTTGATAATTGTTAAATATAATTCTCAATTTTATAGAAATTAGTTAGAGTTTTCAATTTCTATAAAATGTTGTTAATTAACATGAATATAACAG